AAAAACTACAACAGATTTAGAAAAGAAAAGAAAAAAAGGTTTTCCTTACATTGATCTTCTTCACATATTCATCACGAAACTGCGCCATATGTCCATGATAGCGGTCCACAAAAAGAAACTTCCTGAACCCATACTTCCTCAAGTTATGTGAAATACAAACAAGAGAAATGGCAGCAACTAGACACTGAAACACCAAAACCTGAATCTCAAAGCTACGAATTTGGTACTTCTTACAGTCAGTAGTGCAGTAAGAGAAATAGTGAATCATCACAACAGGAAGAGCAATACCAAGAAGCAAAAAAGTGAGCCACGAGAGAGTGAGACTTATAAAGGAGTGCTGACAAAAGCCAAAGACCCTTAAAATGGTTTCTAAATGGTTTAGAGATTTGGATAGATGGGCTTCATCCTCTTGGTCTTCATATATGAGAGGGACTTGTGTTGTTGATAAGTTATCTGTTTGCGAGCAAGGAACTGCCATTTCAAAGAGTGAAAGTGAGGTTTTTTTTGGTGGGCTTTCTGATTATAGACAGAGGAGAGTCAGAAACCTTAAAGGCGCTAAACTAAACTAGTGGATTTCGGGGAGAAAGAGATGGAGACAGTATCTGTCCGTGTCTGAAAGGAGGCCGTGTTCATCTCTATGTTTATTTATTTTCTCTTCACAAAATAACAAGTGAAAAGGCAATCTTGTATCCCACTTCGGTTGCTTTCACGAGGAGGAAACTCTCGTTTCGTTTTTCTTGATTGAAGGCATTGTAGATTCTGAGACCTGGAAAGTATGAAAGAGAGGTAGATAGATATGGCAAACATTTAAAAGCCAATTCCATCATTTCCCTAAGTTTTGTGTGTTGTGACGAAGACAGCTTGAAAAGAAGAAAAGGAAAGGGTTTTATTGGGAAGTGGCCCCAAGCTTAAACCAAACGGTCAGGGATCTGTACAATTTTATTTTTTTTTAAAAAAAAAAACTGTGAAAGATTGTCATTTTTTATATTTTAAAAGTATTTTTTTAAAATTAAATTTTATTATTTTAAATATTTTTTAATTTTTTATACATGTGGGATGTTAAAAATAATTTTTAAAAAATAAAAAATTATTTTAATATATTTCTAAGTAAAATATATTTTAAAAAATAATTATTATTATATTTTTAAATATTTTTACGAAAACTATGGTTAAAGAGTTTTATTTATTTATGGAGTTTTTTTTTATTCTTTAAATTTAAAAGTACATAAACTAAAGAATGTTAAATTGTTTTTAAAGACATCTGCATTAAATTTAGTATTTGGTCTGCATTTGTAGGCCGAAGTTTGCTCTGACAGTTAGGTTAGCGCATCTTTTTAAGCAAACTTTCTTTCCTGTCTTTGTTGAAGAGGAAAGGAGAAGAAAAGGACAGGTAACTCCGACTCTCCGACGTCGTCCTGACGCTGCTGGACTCGCTAGTGGGCTTATTGTTTTGGACATAGTTGCATGGTCTTATTAAAAGATAGAAAGCGATTTCGATTGAATCGAAAGCAAAGTTATTATTAAACCCGGCCTGTTTCATGACTTTATTTGAGGTCCAGATCATGGCTGGCTGAGGTAGATTAACTTTTTGTTGTTTTAGTGCTTTTTAAAAAGTTGAATAACGTTTTTTTGAAGAAATATGTTTTTTTCAAAATATTAATTAAATGAAAAATTTATCTACCAGACTGACTGACCGGATTAACTTTAAATTAATTTTTTAGACACAATAAGCAAGTTAGTATTTGATTTGATGAGTATAAATAAAAAAATATAATTGTGATTAATAAAAACCATGATGATTTTTATTATGTTAACTTGAGTTAATTTTTTTTATTGACTTGATTAGGTTTGTTCAGGGCAATTTAATAAATAAATTTTATTAGTTTTTTTTATCTAGTCTAATTATAAATTTTTATGTGGGCATAATGTGACAAGTCAAGCTTGGATTGCCTAGTTGGCTAGTATAAGGATTTTGTGTTGCGAATACGTTTAAAATAAATCAAATATCAGTACACCATACGGGTGGAAACAAATTACAACCAATATATATGATTATCCTCTATTTTTCATTGTAATTATGTAATAGTTTTTTACTTTTATTTTTTTTAAAAAATCATTTCAATTCAAAATTCAAAAGTTTGAAATGTTTGAAATAATTTTATATTAATTTTTAAAATTTCATTGAGTAAAAAATCTTTTTAATTTTTAATTTATGGATTTAATATTATCTTTAATTTAATTTTTAATCTAATTAAAGAAAATAAGGATGACAATTCTATCTTATCTTGTTCTGACTTTTTAATTTAATTAGATAAAATAAAGATGGTTTATTCATAAAAAGTAAGCATAGTATAATTAGAATTGCTTAGTGTAGCTTGATTTTTTAATTTCATTAGAGAGAACAATAATGCTTTTACTATAGCTTGATTTTTAATTTACTTAGAGAAAACAATAATGGTTTTTCTAGTAAAAAACAAGAATGATGAGATTTGAAATTCTAGTAGCTTGGTGATTAAATTAGTTTTTACTCTAAAAAATATTCTAATCACAAAATGATGAATTAACCTTGGTAAGTTGTTTTTAAACAGTTTTAACGTGACAAACTCGACTTTGATTATAAAATCGTGAACTTGATCGATTTTAACCAAATTGACGTTGGACTTAACTTTGATCGTAAATGATAGAATTGACCTTGGTATATTTTGACAGACTTTGATGATGTAAATTCAACTTTGACTATAAAATGATGGTTTATTGGTTTTAATAGAGAATTTGATTTTTGACAGTATAGCTCGGTTTTTTTGGCCGAATGTTTTTGTTTGGTAGAAAAATAATTTTTGATCTAGAAACATTGTTTTCAATTTTTTTTTGGTCATGCAGGCCAAAACAGGTTATTACCAGAAAGAATTGGCATTTTATTCTATATTATCTTATAAAATATTATTTATTATAAAAAAATTGTTTTTTTTTAATATTTTTTTAATTTTATATATTTAATTTATTAGGTATAAAACTTTATAATTTATTGCGATTTATTTTCAATGCGATTATTCAAGTCATATGACTTGTGTCGTGGGTTTAATGGAATAACCCCGTTAACTATAGTTTTTTTTTGTTTTTAATTAATAAATTTTTTAATTTTATTTTTAATATTTAGTTTATTTAGAATTAGATTTTATATTTTATTTTAGTTTATTTGTTACGAGATTATCTCAGTTTTATGAGTTAGATTATGAATTTTAATTAAAAGTTAACCCAAGTAAACTTAGGTTGTTTTATTATATTTTTTTAGATTAAATTTTTTTCTTCCAATTTTATCATTCAACAAGAAGTTAATTAAGAGTTGAACTTCATGATTTATTTTAATTTTTTTTTATAAAATTATCTTAGTCTCGTAGTTTATGTTGTAAGTTTGACGGGTAAATCCAAGTTAATTTAAATAGTTTTTTGTATTTTTTTAATTGATTATCTTTTCAGTTTTATTATTTAACATTAAATTATTTAAAAATTAAATTTTATAACCTATTTTAATTTACTTTGTATAAAGCATTACTCTCTAATATTTTAAATTATAAATTTAACACGTTAACTTGAGGATTAACTTAAGTTGATATAGAGTTTTTTAAATTTATTTTATTATTTAATTTTTAATTAATTTTACATATTATAAATTTAATAAATTAATATAACAAATCTTGATTTTATTTTTATTTTTTAACTAAATATTAACAACATTTAAATACATCTATTTTTATGTTGAAAAGTTTGTGGATCCAACCATAGCAGGCAACGATATTGTGAAACTACTAAATTTACTTGGTTTTGACACAAGTACAATAGTTAAACAGAAGAAGAATTAGGGATTAGTTATAAAAGGAATGCCCCTGGTGAGGTTCGAACCCACGACTTCTTGCTTAAAAGGCAAATGCACTACCACTGTGCTACAGAAGCGTTTCTTTCATCGGTTCTCTAGCAAATAATATTTATAACATTTGTAACCACCAACAGTTATCCCTGTGATATTTTATATATTTTTTAGGTTTGCAGAATGTTTAATAGACTGTAAAATTAGTGGTAGTATATACAAGTTAGTACAAACACCCACATAAATTAAAAAAAAATATATATTGATGGGTGGGTGCATTAAATATCTTAAATCTTTCCTTTTATTTTTCAAGTCCCACCATTTATTTTTTCCCTGCTAATTGAGCACAAGGCAGACACCAAACAGTTACCGGTGGCAATGTCACTGCTATTCATTAGTGGAATCACCAGCATTTGGAACCAACAAAACTTGGATTTACTTTCTCTGATATATATATCCCAAGTGTTCTATTGAAAGCTAAAATCTTTTAAGATGGAACAAAACAAAAGTTTTCCCGTTAAATCATGTTAACGTATACTTCAATATTCGATTGTTAGAAATTATGGAAATGTATCGGGAAGACAACTACAGAACAATCAGGAATCAGATTCAAAAAATTTCCAGGTAGGCACAGAATCATATGCAGATTTGAATAAAATGAAATTGTAATTTAAACCACTCCTCCCTCTCACAACCTGCAATATATATATATATATATATATATAACATAAAAAATTACATCATATCAATGAATTCCTCACCAGATTTTTATGCTGAACGATGCAGTCCCAGCGAGTTAAATTTCAGATAAAAAGCTGAAACTCAAGATCACAACATTGACGAGCCAGTACATCTAACTGTTAAGAACCCCAAATAATGCTCTGGAACGTGATTCGTGTTTGACCTGTGTTTTTGGTCCTACCGAAACTATGACTTTGCTCACGCTGACGGAGTTCTCTCACGGCTTTGAACCTCAAATCATCGGTATATGAAAGCACTGGAACCGTGTCAGGAACAGCCACTCGTCCTTCAAGCATGTTCACTACCTCCGACATTGCAGACCTAAGTGTTGAGGATACATTTGTACACAAGAGAGCTACTTTAACCATAATTTCTGCTTCTTTTATGGTAACTTTAGATTTTAACATCTCATCAACAAGCTCCATAAAACTCCCACTTTGCTGCAAATGGCAGGCCTGCAATCCACGTAATTTAGAACTTCCACATTGAGTCTTGCGAACTACAACGTCAGTGCAATGTATTAAGCACGGAAAGAAGATTAACCAATCTTAGAGACAAACGCAATTGCTGTTGCTTGGCATATGGTTATTGTTGTTCTTCCCACTAACAATTTCCAAAGCCACAACCCCAAAACTGTAAACATCTGCTTTGTAGGTCAAGTAACCCCACAGTGCATATTCTGGTGCCATACATCCTCTGCGTATCAAGATAAAGAACTCTTGTAATTTAACATTGAAAAGTTACACGATACAAAAATCTCAGGTTTTAATTTAGTAACTAACATGGTTTTAGCAACTCGGGTGCTGATGTGGTTCTTCTCTTCTTCATCAAGCTTAGCCAACCCAAAATCGGATATGTTAGGATTCAGAACATCATCAAGCAGCACATTTGTAGCTTCAATATCTCTGTGAACGATAGAAAACAATCTAGACCTCCAGCTATCCCAATACAGATCTTAAGCCTTGTAGGCCAGTCGTGAAAACGGAAGGTGAGGGAAAGCTTTGAAGCGACCACATTTTAGCCATAAAAAACAATCTTGGCATCAATGCATTCATCTTGTAGAGACGATTTTGATGTCTGTTGCGACCTTTAATCATGCTGAGAAAAGCATATTAGAATCCATTTTTTTGTCAGATTTTAGATTTTTTTAATGATTATAATGTGTTTTGGGTTGAAAATAAGGTTATCCGATTTCTATGATGTTTGGTTTTTTGTGTGTTTTACTGTTCTCAGGTAAAGACATTTAAAATTGAGTTTTAGGAATTTAAAATCCAAGCTGCCAAGTTTCTCTCTCTCTCTCTCTGAGGTCTGTCGCGAGGGCTTATCCTTCCTTACTGAGGCACAGCTGGTTTTTTTCAAATAGCCCTTCAACTTTTTTTAAAAAAAAATTATTTTTAAAAAAAATTATTAAAATTATATTTGAAAAATCATTACCATAGTTTTCAAATAAGATGAGAGGTCTTTTACGGTAAAATTAACAATTATTTTATAAATAATTATATATGAATCTGTTATAAAGATTATTTTAAAAAAATTGCTCATGAATATTTGATAAAAATAAAAAATCTATTTTATTATTTTGTTATTTTTTTATACCTTCACATAAAATTATCTACTCATGAATTTTTTATTTGTTTTGGTTTTTTATTACAAGAGTGGCCCGTGCTATGCCATTGATTGAACTAATTTTTTGTTTTCATTGTAAATAAAGGAAGCCAAAGAAACAGAATTATTCTCAAGGAAAAAAAACTGGACTTAAGATGAGTCAATAATCCTATATAATTTTGATAATATAAATAAAAAAATAAAAAAATAAAAAAATAATTTAAATCCATTCAAGTCTATAACTAACATTAGAGTAATTTTATTGAAAATAAATTAAAAATTTAATGGTTAAATAATCTAATATTATATAAGATAACCATAAAACAATATTAATCCATTCAGATCTGTATCCATTGAATTCAAATTAAATTATAATCTCTAACATTAAGAAAAGAAATTATTTATCCTTATGGATATCTATTAGCTAATAACCATTTAGTATTAAATAAAAAATAAATTAATTAATATATAAATTTTAAGGGTGTTTGTATTATATTATCAAACTATAAAATAATAAATATTACACAAATATATATATGAGTATCAGTGTTTTATATCAATATCAAGATATGTATATATTACATTGTATTAAAATAAATATTTTACAAAAATATTTTTATAAAATAAATATATATTTTGATATAGGTTCAAGTGAGATTTAGATATGTTTTGATAATATTCATGCCTTATTAATTATTCATTAAATAATGTAATTATCTAAAAAATATCAATCCATTTGGGGCTTATTAATTACTCATTAAATAATGTAAGTATCTAAAAAACATCAATCCATTTGGGGCGAGCCAGGATGACATCTATTAGTTTCAAATTAAGTTTTAATTTATAAAATTAATGGATAAAATTGAAAATAAATTATAATTAGAAAAGGCTAAAAATAAAATAAATAATAAATAAAAAACAAGGATTAGATTTGAAATAAAAACTAAAAGAAATGAAATGATGATGAATAAAATTTAAAAAAAAACTATAAAAGATAAAAACCAAGAGAATAAAGACTAAATTTGAAATAAAAATTAAATGAAATTAAATAATATGAAAAAAAATTAAAAGCAAAAATTAAACTATAAAAGATGAAAAAATGGATAAAATTTTAAAAAATAAACTATAAAAAAAATGAGGATTATATTATATAAATAAAACAATGAAAGAAAATTTGTGTACTTTGTCTAAGAAAGGAAAGAGAAAAGAAGAAGAAGAAAAAAACATTATATTGGAGCCACATCATCGGTTTTTCTCTGTCACGCACGCCACCAATAAAAAACTCTAGATGTATTATTTTAAATATTATTGTGAAAAACAGTGTTTAATAGCAGGAGAAGCACGCACGTATTACCCAAAAAGTATGGGCTCTCACACACGCTTGTTCTTTTTAAATAAATTTTATATATATTAAAAAATTGAATCACCCTTAACTCTAATCAACAACTACAGAAAAAGTTAAAAACCAAAGAGAAACAAAGAAAACACTCCTAGACCGAAGTAAAGGAAAAATAAAATTGCAAGTGTATTTAAGTAATCATGTTGTTCAAATTTAAAAAAAATAAAAAATAAAAAACCCCTTGCCCTCATGTTATGTTTTAAGTTTTTAAATGGTAGATTAGTAATTTAACTGTTCAATAAAACAATGAAGCAACCAGTTTACCTCTAAATAGAGCGGTAATGCCAATTCAATCACGTGAAAAAACTAATTTAGACTAAGTCTTGCTCTACAGTGAAAGGCTGACGGGGTTTGTTTTTTTTTTTTTTGTCGATTTACTTTTCTAATCATTATATGTTTTTTTTTTAAAACAATGCTTATAATATAAAACATATTTATGTGGAATACATGAATCATTGGAAGTTTTTATGAATATTTATTTTAATTATTTTTAATTTTTATTCAATAAACTATGTTGCCAATAAAAAGATATTGTAAAAAAAAGAGTTTTGATAAATAAAAATATATTTTTTCTTCAAGATTTAAATTATTGTTTTTTTAAATATCTATTATAGTTATCACATAATTAAATTAAAAAAAACACTCGGAAAGCGCCCCTCAGCATCCCGCGTTCATAACCAGTTCTAACCAAGATATCACGTATCTAGGCAGTATATATGTCTGAATGGAAGATATTATTACCCCAAATGAAAAACAGTATACCATAGGTTCATGAACAATGAACATCAAAATTATTATCAGACGTCTGAATTAACAGCAAAGTGTCTGTCAAAAAATACCCTGGGGGTGGAACTGTTATTTTACAAGCATGGAAAACCTCATGGGGCCTGAGGTGGGTTCGGACAACATGATATTCAACATAGAGATCAGCAGCCTCCGCCAGAAATCTCCTCAGGTCAAACCTGGATCTATGACTAGCTGATGATGATTGATCCTAGCTTTGGATAGATGACTAGAATTTTGACCTGTATTTCCCTGCTAGACATTCTGGCCTTCATGCAATTATTGTTTTCAATAAATGGATCATAATTTAGACGAAGCACCAGAGAGAGCATGATTGACCAGCTCCCGCCTTAGGATCTTTCCTGCGGGAGATTTTGGAATGGCACTGATGAAGGCCACTCGTCTTATCTTCTTGTATGGTGCAACCTGCAAGAAGAAATGATTAGTTTTGAGCATGACATAGTACCATCACAGGGAATCATCCTTAAATGAGAGAGCATACGTTTGGCTGTAATTGTTGGCTATCTGGCTGCTCATTTTTGGGAAAACAGTCACTCGATGGTTATAATTTACTTCTATCAGGTAACCCGACTAGAAGTGGGGAAGTGATCAGACAACTGAAAAATAAACTGAGAAGGACATCCCACGCCCCAGGGAGGAGAAAATTAAAACATGCCATCTCAAGTCAAATTCAGAATTCAGAATTCAAAATTCTGCAAGTTGTTCTGTAGCCAACCAGGAAATCAACCACTAGGTCTGAATTCCAGATGCAGAATGTCCTATTCCAAAGGATCTCCATATTTTAATGGGGATATTGTTCTTTCACATGGCAAATACAAAAATAAGTGATCCCACAAGGCATATTATAAGAGACACCACCTAACCAATTTGTCATTTTATGCAACAACAGGGCAAGTTTAATATGGTAGTGATACATAGATGCGTGCACGTATCTACATCTTAAATTAAGAGGTGCCAAATCATCATGGTTTATCCAGAAGCTTACCTGTTTTGCAATGGAATCCATAATTTGAGCCTCAGTAATATTGCTTCCTGGTTTCCTCACCACATAGGCCATAGGTATTTGCCCTGCCTCTTCATCAGGGTACCTGCTCCGAAATAACAAAAACCAAATGATAAGTGGATCAGGATCTTCAGTAGAATCAAATATAAATAAATAAATAAGTAGATTCTGAAAGCAAGAAGAAATTCACTGGAAGAATCTGATACTAAATACATTTCCATAAACATTTACCTTTAATAATAACTAGATTCAATACATCTGGTAAGTAAAAATGATCACTTTATACATTTTAAAGGTATCTGTTAAAAGAAAAAAAGGGGATTTCCCCAAGAATAAAGCACCAGAAGAGGGAATTCACAATTTTCATGAACTGGGATATCTTATCTAATCCATGCAGCAAGATATCAACAAGTCTTTCTGGTTGCCATCCTCAACAGAAGAATCTCTTTTGCTTCCTCAATAAATAAGCTAAGATAAACTTACAAAACCAGCAAAAAGAATTTGAAGCAAGAACAAAAGTATTATATTGCGAAAAATATAGACACATAGGATCAAATTTTAAGAAATAGAAAAATAGCATGTGATCCATCATGTTTCAGGAATGAGCTAATGAATCAAAGAGAACTTCAGACTCATGTCTGTGTGAAATAGCCAGCTGTTTGCTATTAGACATTGATGTGGAAATCAATGAAACAAGTATACCAGCATGACATTGCGGCATGAGTAGCAGATGAAACAGCTAGACAACTTACGGAATCACAGCAGCATCAGCAATTTCAGGATTAGACTGAAGTAACTTTTCCAACTCGGCAGGGGGCACCTGAAAATAATCAATCATATGGTGAGATAACAGCATTCCTGATAGTTCAAATTAGATTTACAATCCTAATGTCCATTGCAGTCAAGACTATGCAAATATAATCCAATCACCTGAAATGCCTTGTATTTAATCAACTCCTTTAGCCTATCAACAATGTAAAGGAACCCATCCGAGTCAAAATAACAAAGATCCCCAGTCTTTAACCAACCTTCTGGATGCAAGGTTTCCGCAGTTGCCTTCTCATCTCCTACATAACCTGCACTAACACCATTGCTGTGCTCGTTAAAGAACAAGCTTACTAGACATGGTAATTTATTTGTCTGTCTTTCAATTAACCGGCATATTCAGTGAATACCATGGTGTATATGAACTTCTATCTGTCCCAGATTAGCATCTAAAAAAGGGGTAAAATATTTGAACTCTATCCTACACATAAATGTTTGTCAGGTGAGATGCATTTTTCTGTGTCAGGTGGCCTAAAAAAGAGAGTAACAAGGACCTGTTGAAATGCATTAAAAATTAACAGCCAATATGTCCATGATCTCTACCTTTCATGACAGTTGGCCCTCGCAACCAAAGCTCCCCTCTCTGGCCAGGACCCAAGGCCTCTCCAGTTTCAGGATCAACAATTTTAGCTTCCATATTTTCAGACAGGCGGCCAACAGAAGCATGCTGGCTAGTCTCTTCAGGTCCTAGAGTCCTTGTTGCCCCTCCTCCAGTCTCAGTCAACCCATATCCCTAAAATTCCAAATACAATGCACAATCCTTATTCAACAACATTTTCAAAATGCATAATCTTCAAACACTCACACGATCATTTTATTAAACAACCTAGTCAAAACGCAATAACTTTTCTAAAAAACACTACATTCAACGTCAGCAACTGCTCCACCTGGCTTACCATTCAAACTAGCCTCAAACGGGGTCCATAGATGCATGAATTGTAAATGCTGACCAGTACTATTCAACTTCAATGATTCAATAAACTAACAAGATGTTGAAAATCGACCAAATCCACCATCAATAATAGAACAACATAAACATTTCTGATTAGCGTCCCCACTAAATTGAATTTACAGAGTTCTAAAATTATGTGTTAGTTGGTGCCATCGAAAAAGTGCTTTCTCAGGCTGAAAAAGCTTTCATACCTAACAGCATTGCATTTAAGTAAAGCCATCAACTGCTTTTTTCCACCCATATATTACTTTGCTCAGCACATGAAATGAAAGTAGCAAACACACCG